AATATGGCCTCTCTTCGTTTGTATAATCGTACATTGTTTCGCAAAAATGATTAGCCAAATCAAATCCTCTGTAGTTATACGAACAATATTCAAAATCTATTATCATTAAATTTTTAGTTTTTTGATTTGTTTCATCAACCTGTTAAGTATAAAAGCAAACAATTAACAACGAATTATTTTTTTTTATGTGAAATTTTTTTTATTTTTTAAAATTTACATTTGTCTTTTTTAATATGTTTCCTTCTTGCAGATCGTTATGACAGAAAACAACAGGAGATCTAATTGTTGACAAGTAATTTCTTAACCATCTTAATTCTTCTTTCAAGTCGTTACCAAGTAAATTATTCACTTTGAGTACTTCTTTCTTGTTTTCAAGTTTTCTCAGCCAACTGAAATATAAGAAAAATTGTAAAATTTTTTCCTTAAAAAGGTAAGAAATTATAAATTTTCTTTAGGTTTTTCCTAAATGGGTGAAATTGATTTTTTTCAAATGTCAAAGACTTAAAGAGGATTTTTTTTTTTTTTTATGGTGGGTATGCGGGTGATTAATTTACCCGAATTTATTATTATTATTATTATTTAAAATGATTTATAGAAAAATAATGTCTGTTTTTTTTTTTTCAGGTACAAAAATTATTTCTTTTGAATTATTATTTTTCAAACCACGTCATAAATTATTATAATGACATAATTAACGTTGAACCGGTACACACAAAAGAATTATAATTTAATTAAAATTAATAGAATTAATAATATGATTACTGATGATAAAAGTCTCTCGTCTGAAGCAGATGAGATTGACCAAAAAGTTCTTTGCGATCGACTTTGGTGGCCATTTAATAACCGTACAGAAATTGATGACGCCATGTTAAATTCTGTACATTCTTCCTTCATAACCTGATGATGTTTGCTGTTTCCACTTCTTAACAATTGTCTCTTCTCTTGGTGATGTATCTCTGTAAATTCCTTCGGTTTACAACCATTAAGCAAACACAAATTAAATATTAAAATAAAATTAAACAATTTTTGTTTAAAAAAAAAAAAAAAAATCAAACTTTAAACGTTTGTTTTTTTTTTTTTTTATATATATAATTTTTTTTCGAACTCGAATTTAAAAAAAAAATTTATTAATTTCGAACACGTTGTTTAATTTTATTTTAATTTTATTTTATAAAAAAACGAATTTTATATTGACAACCATTTTTATTTTTTAGTTTACAATCATTAAAAAAAAAAAAAAAGTTTTTGAAAACCGGAAATTACGTGTCATAATTAATATATATACAACAAGATATCATCATCATCAACACCACAAATTGTTTTTTCTTAGCCTAAAGTTAAAGAGTGTGCAGGTCAGGGAACATATTTGTAAAAAAATGTGAAACGATTATGAATCACATCGTAATTAATTTTTTTTTTTTTTCCTCTTTTTTGTTTCAGGTTAAATTTAATTTAATTGAATCAATATGTCGAAAAATTGTCTCTCTATAAAAATTCGTCTCCCAAAATCAATCGTAACTTGACTTGTTCTACTACTACTCATTATATTGTTTTGTTTCAACTATTACTCAACATGCTGCCAAGAGGTTAAAACTAATTAAACGTATTATCTAGAACCAATGAGTGAGTAAAAAGAAGAATCATACTATTTATTTTATATTTAAAAAAAAATGACAACCTGATAGGAACCTGATAGGAAGGAAAAAAAAAAAAATTATCGATTGTTTCGAGTGTGAAAATATATATACTAACGTGAAACGTTTGTTACTATCGTTAACGATTATGTTTTTCTAATCTACTTTTTAAAACATTATCGGTGTGTTATGGGTATGACATTTTAAAATCGTAAATAAATAAAAAATGAATGCGAATCGTTGTTACAAGTCACTTGATAGTTAAAAACTTACAATCGTCAATTAAATCGAAATCCGTTCGATGTTTATAACAGAAAACAACAACAATTATTATGAAATTCTTCACAAATTAATTATGTTTGTAATGTTTCCATGTTTGTTTCGTGGTCTCACGTTAATTAAATGTTACAATATTAATTTTATAAAACAGATCATTCATGTTATGTTCAAACATAAAACATTCAAAGTAATTTTTTTTTTTTTTTTTTTTTACAATTGCAGGAAAGTTATTAAACTTTTGTTATACTTACAATTTAACCTGCGCTAAACATTAATTTTTTTATACGTGAAGTTTCACATAAATTTTTTTTCTCTAAAAAATGACGTCACAAAAAATTACCACATTAAAAAAAGAAAGAAAATGTTTAGGCTAAGGTAGCGAAAAATTTATGTGCACACAACACACACACAACAACGCTACATTCAAGGTTATTATTATTATTATTATTATCATTATTATTTTTTTTTCTTCACACTTTTATTAAATAAATTATTTTTATATATATACCTCTCTCTCTTACTCTCTTTTCAGGTAAATTTTTACTCAATAAGATGATGAGAAAAATAATAATAAAGTAATTATTTACTTACCTTTCGATTGAACCCCATAACCATCTTGGTTCTTTCGATAGAGGAACATTCATGGAATGAATTTCAGCAATTGAATCAGCAATCACGAGACTAAGATTATCATCGGAAAGTTCATCCGTGCTCAAAGGTCTCGCCTTTAAAAAAATTTAACAGGTTTGTGAGAAACAAGTTTTTTATAAAATTTTGTGACTAGTATATAACTTGATGTTGAAACGGGGAGGAAGGAGGAGACAGGGGAGGAAGGAGGAGACAGGGGAGGAAGGAGGAGAAAGGAGGAGATAGAAGGAGGAAGGAGGAGGAAGGAGGAGAAAGAAGGAGGGAGGAGATAGGGGGAGGGGTTAAATCTCACCGGTATGTATTCTTCCAAACGTCCCCCTGGAAAAACACCATACAGTCTTGGCCCTCTGTTGTTTTCCGATAACAATGTAAATATAACGCATTCTGTTATGAATTTAGTTTGTGCGTCAGAATGATCTTGACCGTAAATTCTTAATAAAACTTTTGTAGGCTCGTCACCAATCGGAGATCGATTGTCTGGCAATGCGCAAAGATATAAGAAATTACTTAATCCTCCACTGCACAAAAAAGAGAAAAAAAAAAAATTATTCAAAATGGCAAGGGAGAAAAAAAAAATTATATGTATATAAATACGTATAATCATTTTCAAGGTTTTTTTTCTCTTTTCCACGATTTTCTACGAAGTTTATTCAACCATTCGATTCTTTTATTATTATTATTATTATTCGATGAAATAAAAAAAAGTAATTGAGATTACAAGAACATAATAATAATAAAAAACGAGTTGAATAATAATAATAATAATTTTTTCTACATGTGTGATTTTTTTAAAATATTCATGTCGTGAGTATTCATCAAATGTTTGAATATGTAATGTTCCCCCCCTCAAAGAAATATCTAGAAAATAATGCAAGACGTTGGGGAGGAATTTTTTTTCTTAATGCCCCCCGTGGATTTTGCAATTAGAAATTTTCTTTCTTGCGAAATTAATAACGTACATACTAATAATAATAATGTTATAAAACGATGATTTGGCTTATTAAAAAAAAAAAAAAAATTTTTATTTTCTTTCAGATTTATTCAAACAAAGGAAAAAAAGGAAAAAAATATTCTTCTCACGTTAATCTACACATACAATACGAAAAAAAAGAAACAAGTTTATGAATTTTTAAAATGGAGAAACAAACAAAACAAAACAAGCTTTTGACGAAAGAGGAATATTTATAAAAAGAGAACAAACAAATTTTTTTTAAAGAAAAATGGAAACAGGTTCGTGACGTAAATTCTTTATTTTTTTTTTCTATTGAAAAACGCACTCAAACTAATAATAATAATAATATCTCGAAATGTTCGTTAATACCTTTGATAACGTCATCATCATCGGTTATTTTCTTTCCTTTTCTACAAAACATTTTAAAACCAGGTAATCTCACTACGATTAGATAATCGATATTACATTTATATAAAAAAAAATATTATTCGAATGAATGACGTAAAAACTTTCTTATTATTATTATTATTATTATTGACACAAATGATTTTCAGAGTTTTGAAAAAAAAAAAAAAAAATTCAAATTTGTATTTAATTAGTTCAAATAGTCGTTAGTCGTTCATTGTTCTTCTTCGACGTCAATTATTATTATCAATATAATAAATAAAATAAAAAAATTTAAATTTAATTTGTGAGTAAACAAACAGGTTTTCAGGTATTCACGGTCGACTTGATTAAATTCAATATCCTGGTCATTTTTTTAATTTTTTTTTTTTTAAAAATAAAAATTCCAGTAAAATTAATTCCCATTTACGCACGAACATCTTTCCCCCTCCCCTCCCCCTCCATCACCTCCCCCATGCTCGCCACCACATTAAATTATATACGTTACAGGAATAATAATAATAATTATTATTATTATTAATAATAAATAAAACGAAATTAAAAAGAGAAATCGTTTTTTGGCATTAGATATGAGAGTTTAGTAGCCAAAAATAAAATTTTTTTAAATTGGAAGAAAACGAAACAAATTTGTGACGTCACGAAGGAAAGAATTTAAAAAATTTCCCCCCCCCCTTCCCCAAAAAAAAAAAAAAAAACCGTACCTTAATTTTTTTATTATGAATTCATCAGGTGTTATCAATCCCCAGGCACCGTTTAAATATTCTCTGCATATGTTGTAACCTTTTTCTCTTATTTCATCTGTTTTTTCCGTTTCCATTAATTTCACTCCGTTTAAAACTTGGTTATTCATCGTTTTATTTATAGTCTATTTTTTTATTTTTTATTTTCCTCTTTCTGTTACTACAACACTTTATTACACAATCAATGTAATTTTCCTTTGTTTGTTTGTTTGTTAAGGTTTTTTCCTTTGAAATACACCCTCAAATCAAAAAAAAAAAAAAAAAAATATTCAATTTGACACGAATCAATCAAAACACTACTAATTATTTATTTATTTATTTATTTTTTTTTTTCAGGGAGAAGAATACGATTAAGAACCAAATGATTATTATTATCTATATCATCGAATATTTTTCTGGAAATTTCCATGAAAATTTTTTAAATTGAATAAAAAATTTAATTTGATTCATTGTGGAAAAAGAGGAAAGAAACACTTTTTGATAAGGTAAATGATTAAAATTTCATGTCGATGAAAAATTTTAACTGGGAATTCCCAAATCTTTATAAATAATAATAATAATAATAATAATAATAATAATAATAATAATGAAATGCAACAAAAAAAAATGTTATTAAACGCACACAATATATATATATACAATATTGGATTCAATTATTATTATTATTATTATTACATTAAATCACTTTGTTATTAATAACGTTTAATTTTTATATTTTAGATATTTAAGAAAGAAAGATGGCGGGCGGGGAGGGGGAGGAAGAAAAAAATTTCAGCTTATTCGAATATGAATCAACAAAAAAAAAAAAAAAGGAAAAAATAAGGAAAAATTTAATTCTGTTTGTAAACATTTGTAAGAAAAATAATCCACTCGTACGAAAACAACGTAAGTAAATAAATAAATAAATAAATAAATAAATCAAATCATTACCACACACACACAGTACGAGAAAAAAAAATTTTTTAAAAAAAAACAAAGTCAAAGTTTAAAATAAATTTTTTTTTTTTAAATTTTACTCCGATTACACTTATCACAAAAAAAAAAAAAAGCAGACAACGAACACGTCACGTACGTTGACAACAAACAAATGTGTAGTAAAATGTTAGTTTGGTGTTATATTGAGATTTGTCGAGTCTGCGCAGAACAACCAAAAAAAAAAAAAATCAAAACAATTGATAATGTCTTGTTGTTTGTTACAACTACGTCGGCAACAAAACAACTCAACCAGACTTTGAATTTAAAAAAAAAATTTTTTTTTTTTTTTATTCATCTTTCACACACGAAATAATTAGTCATTCACGTAATGTTTATTTATAATTTTTTTGAGGGGAATGAGGGGAGGGGGGGACTTTTTATTTTATGATAAAATTATATAAACAAATGAAAGTTTATAAATGTGAGACTATATATATATATATATATGACCCCCGTAGTTTATTATTAATTAATTTATTTTTAAAATTTAATTAATAAATTTTCTTTTTCTTTTTAGGTGTTTTATTTTTGAATCACATCGTGAATGAAAATTTAAAGGACGTTTAAAAGAAAAAGAAAATTGTTTTGATATCGACGTGTTTTATTTAAAAAAGTAAAAAATTATTTATTGATGAAAATATGGAGAGAGAAAAAAAAGGAGTGTCATAATAACGAGAATGTTTAAGAAAAGTAAAATTTTCATTTCAAACATAAATTTTGATCGTGGAATTAGAAATTTTCAAAAATTAGAACGATTAAGATTGAAAATTTTAATTAATTTAATATTCATTTTTTAGTTTTACGTGCGTGAGAAAAAATTACAAAATCAAAATCTAAGAGAACAACATCATTTGCAAACAATGGAAAAAACAAAACTGAAAATTTTTCTTCTCACCTTGTAAATTTTATTATTAGTATTATTATTATTATTACTACCTGAGAATTTGAAAATAAATTTTCGATACGAAAACTAGAGATTTCGACGGAAAAAATATTAAATAATAATAATAATAATAAGCGTTTCTGTATGGTTTAAAATACTTTCGAACAGGACGAAAAAGCACAGGATTATTATTATCATTTAATCATAAAGGATAAAAATTTTTCATACAAATACGAAAAATAATTTAATTTTAAAAATATTTAATAAAATACAAAACGTAAGTAAGTAATTATAATTCATTATAAAATAATAATAATAATAATAATAATATGTAAATAATATTTTCCGTTACGATCGTTTTTATTTATTTTATAGAAGCGGAACTCCTCTGTTGATGACCATCGGAATTTTTCTCGGAACCATGCTGTATTAAAAGAAAACAAACAACAAACGACAATAAAATAACAATTAATATTAAGAAAAAAAGAAATCCTTGGATCGACGTGCGTTTACCCTTGAACTTACATAAAAAAATCCAGGTATGTTAATATTTCCAAAAACAAACAAACAAAAACCGACATTTTGTATTTTTCCCTCTTAAAAAAAATTCAAACAGGTTTTGAGCAAATAATTATCATTCGAATTATGTTGATGGGGTTGGGGGAGAGAAGGGAGTAAAAATGGCGATGAGAACGAATCGAATTTAACTTTATACGTATTTTATAATGTGTGTGTGTTTATACTGATTGCTACGGTCATTTTTCCGTTACAGGTCGCGTTAATGAAAATTTCTAAGGTTAAAATTTATCATTATTATTATTAATAATTTGAAACGGTTGTGTTAGGCTTGTTTGAATGTCAAACGCGCGTGTTAATACAAAAAAAAAAAAAAAATCGATTGTCGATTGTTGGTAAATTGTATTTAGTTTGCACGTTGAAACGTTTTTTTTGTTTGTTGTTGGTTTGGTTTTCGAGTTTGTTTACAATGACACCAATCGTCTGCTTTTATCGTGTCCGTAAAAAATTTTAAATACACGTTAAAGAATCCACCATTACCTTACTTAACATTCGACATTATAACTCGTCGACATTGATTGTAAACCTTAATAATAATAATAATTTAACGTAAATATTATTAAATAAAAAGTTTATTGTCGTTTATTATTACATTTTCTTACGTGTTATTTCAATAGAGGAAAACAAATCGACGCCATCTTATTTTTATTTTAATATTTTTTTGTTTACGACGAAAATAAATTTATTATTAATGATAATAATAATAATGTTACGTCATTTCCTCAATTAAGGGATATTTATAGGGAAACCCCTTTGGTTTTTTTTTTTTTTTTGTTAATTTCCTTAATAATAATTGTTAATAGTATTGATGATTTGGAATTGGAGGTGATTAATAGAAAGTTTGTTTACGTACAAAAATTATTATTATTATGTTTTGTTTTGTTTTTTTTTTGGGGGAGGGGGGATTCGGGATCGGTAAAAAATAATTTTAAAAAATTGTGTAATGGTTTTTTTTTATGCATGTTGTTTGTTTATAAAAAAAAAAAACTCGACTGATAAGATAATGCTCGTGTTTGTTAGTGTGAATAATATAAGATCGTGTTTGTCGTGTGACAGGTTTGTTTGTTTCATTCGTTAAATTTGCCAACTTTTTTTTTTTTTAATCAGAATTTTAGTTAAAGTATGAGGTCATGGCCAACCGTGAAAATCTTACGCACTTGATGACGATGATAATTGTTTTATAAAAAAAAAACATTTCGTTCAATGTTAATTTTTTAATTTACAGTTAATCATATAGTAATTGATTTATTTAAAATCGATCGATAATTGATTGATTGATTGGTTTGATTTATTAATTAATATAGAGAATGTGTGTGTGTGTGTTTTATAATGTGAATTTTTTAAACATTTTTTGATTTGTGATGAAATTGTGTTTGTTTGTGTGTAAAATTATATGTTATGCGTTTGTAACTTGAGTGTCCCACATTGTTGAATATGTTATTGTTGGCCTGGTTATTCCAAATTGTAATGTGTGTAATCGTAGATTTGGTTGTCTGGAAACAAAAAAATTTTTTTTTTCATTTTGAACGAGTGTGTGTGTGTGTGTATGTAATATTTTACGTTAAACGTGATGAAACCTGTTTTTCCAATCGTGCTGTGTTTTATTCTATAACATTATTCCCCGATTCGGTGATCAAATAAATTTTTACTTAAAGTAAAAAAAAAAAAAATCTTACTTTATGCAGTCTATTATCGGACACACTGATAAACAAAGAGCGCAACCTGTACAGTTATCTTTGACCAACGGTAAATGTGTGTTTGGATCAAATTCAATGGCTTGATATCCAGAATCATTGCATGCCATATAACATTTCCCACAATTCAAGCATAAATCCTAGTAAACATATCGTATAAGTTATTAAACCAAGGTTGGCACAATAATAATAATAATAATAATGACATGGTGGATATGTTAACGTCGCGGAATTTATTTAAAAATTTATGACGAAGTAAAAATATAATACTCACATCGTTAATCAAAGCCACGACTTGTTCTTTATTATTTAAAGATTTATACGATCCGATAAAGGGTAATGATTTTCCTATGATATCTTTTAAGGTAGGAATTTTTTTTTTAGGTACGTAATTAGGTCGGCACTTTTCCGTTTCAACATCAAATGATGACTTTGTCGCATTTAATTCGGCTTCGATTTTTTCACGTTTTTCTTTGTAAATTCCAAAATGGGTGAGCGTCTAAAATTAAAATCAATGATGGATGATGATTGTTTATTTATCGGTGGGAGTCATGCGAGTTTACCTTTCCGTTTTCATCTGTGAGAGTCATGACCGGTTTCCCTTTTTGGTGTGGTATTGTAGGAGGGCTTTGACCGTCCCAATGTGAAAGTTCATCAATGCTTCGTAGGTACAATAAAGCTTTTAAACCGGTTACGTAGTCATCTATCACAGTAAAATCTTGATTTTGTACAGCACTGCATACCTTTAAAATAATTTTATTTATTTATTTTATTTAGAATTTAAAAAAAAAAGAAAAAGAAAATTTGAAAAAACGTACTTGTAAAAGAGTAGCACCGCATTGTAAAAATTGAAGACCAGCTTCGGCGGAATCGATGCCACCCATACCGAGAATGGGAAATCCTGGTAGAGCTTTAGAAATGGCACTGACAGCTTTTAAACCCATAGGCCTAATTGCATTACCGGATGTGCCACCGTAGGTCGTTCGTAGAGCAACGCCGACACTTGGCCAAGGTGTAGCGTTTACTTTGACACCCATCAAACCCGATACCGTATTTATTGCAGATACACCATTCGCTTTTCCTTCGTATGCTGCCCTTGCTATTTCGACAATGTCGGTTACATTTGGAGTGAGTTTTACAAAAAAAGGGATTTTAATAGCTGATCGCACCCATTCAGATATATTTTGTACTAATTCCGGATCTTGCCCGCAAGCCAAACCCATTCCTCTTTCTCCCATTCCGTGTGGACAAGATAGATTAAGTTCCAATGCGTCTGCGCCGCTTTCTTCTGCTTTTTTCGATAATTCCGTCCAATCGTCTCGATCGTAAGAACACATAATGGACGCTATTAAAATCTAAAATATTTTTTTACAAATTAAATAATTTAATTTGTTTTTGTTTTTTTTTTTTGGGGGGGGGAAGGGGAGGTTGTTGAAACGATGTTAAAAACCTTCGTCGGAAAATCTCTTTTTAATTCTCTTATACTTTTACACCAATATTTTTCTGATTTTTCCGATATTATTTCTATGTTTAAAAACGATCCTTGTTCGGGTCCGTAATGGTTTTTTGAAGTTGTGCCTTTCACTATTCTCGGTGAAACGTTGATACCCAAATCCTATAATTTTTACACAAAGACCTTGGTAAATATGTTTAAAAAATATTTTTTTTTAGCAATAATTATTATTTCAGGTACGATACCTTATCTAAGCAAAATGTTTTTGTCACGACGAAACCCCAACCTGCTTCGAAAGCTCTTCTTATCATTGAAGATGATGTTGTAGGTGGTGCAGAAGCCAAACCGAAAGGATTTTCAAATTTAATATTGCAAACATCAATGGAAAGATCTACATCATCTATTTCTGTGTAAAATTTAGGCAGTTTAGGATTTTCAGGTATTTCTATTCCGTCTTTATTCTTTGATAAAAAAAAAAAGAAAAAAAAAAATTAATTTGTATTCTGAACACGTGCATAACTTCACTCAATGTTATTATTTACTTGAAGATATTTATGTATAAACCACGCAGCTGTTTTGCCATCGTTCACGGATTCAACTGTCGTTTCGCTAATTCCAGCGATATCTCCTCCAGCAAAAACTCCTCCTTCACTGGTTTCCATTGTCTTCTCATTAACTTCAGGTAAATTCCATTTGTTAAATTTTAATGGTTCCATAGCTTGTTTGACTAAATCAAAATTTCACCGTTATTTTTCCACCTTTTTCATTTTTCGTTATTTTCGGAAAAAAAGGATTCGATTAATTTTTTGATGTATTCGAGTACCTTTTACGTCTCCCAATCCGCTTCCGAAAGCTGATATGATATAATTAGTTTTGAGCTTGACTGTTTGTTCGTGATCTTCAATCCATTCATCATTATCAAGTTGTTCGGTTCTAGAAAATTCTAATCCGATTATTCTATTTCCTTTGATCAATACTTTTTTAGGGGATAAAAAGGGTATGAATTCGCATTTTTCTTCGTGTGCAAGTTGAAACTGAAAAAACGTGGAAAATTTTGATAAACTTTAACTCCTTATCATTTTTAACACGTGGTTAGGGTAAAACACGTATGTTTTGCAAAAAGAATATAAGAAATATTGAAGGCGTTTTTTTATTAATAGAACGTAATTACTAACTTCTTCGGGTACTGCTTTGATGTTTCGAAACCCTTTGCGAAAAACTACGAAAACTTTTCTCGCTCCACATCTTAAAGCGGATGTTGCGCAATCAAAAGCCGTATCTCCGGCACCCAAAACGATAACGGTCCCGTTTAAAATAGGCAAATCGATTTTGCAGTGACACATACCTGTTTCAATTTTTATTTATTTAATTACTAACTGAGATTGGCGAACAAAAAATACCTTAAATTAATTACTACCTGATTTGCTACCCTTTGAAACCAACGGAAGAAAAGTTTTAGACGTGTAAAATCCCATTTCAGGTGTCAGGTTTTCAAATTCGGGTATTATTTTAGGCTCCGGTAATCCTATACCGATAAAAATAGCATCGTAACCATCATTTTTTAATTTCTAAAAAAAAAAAAAAATAATTTAATAAATCAATAAAATCAGGTACGCGATGAACGTATATATATACCTTAATTGTCAAATCGTCGATTGTTAATCTTCTTCCGTTTACTATATTTACACCCAAATCTTTTACCAATTCGATTTCAAAATTTACCGCTTCAACCGGAAGTCGATATTGTGGAATTTCAGAAACGCTGTGAGAAAAAAAAAATAACAAACGATATTTTAACGATATTTAAAAACAAAAGGATTTCTTCTACCGGAAACAAATAGGTTCATACCTTAATCCACCGAAATAATTTTCCTTTTCGTAAATCGTTATATTTTTATATCCCAATCGTGCCAAAAAAGTCGCACAAGAAATGGAAGCTGGTCCGCAACCTAAAAGTCCTATTTTATGTCCGTATGCAATATTTCGATTTTCAGGTGGAATAACTTGAGCTAATTTCATTTTTTTAAAAACCTAAAATTAAAATTTTTATTATTTAATATTTTATGTGAAATGTTTACTATTTATATATATATTTATAATATTTACTTCCACAGCAAATTGTTGAAGTCCTCCGATATTTATCGGTCCTTCTTCAGATGCTTGTAAATTGCAACCGCCGACGCATAAATCACTCGTTGGACAAACCATACCGCAAGTCAATCCCAAAGGATTATCGGATAAAATCGCTTTTGCTGCACCGTAATAATTCTAATTCCGAAGACGAAAAAAAAAATCAATCAATCAATCACGCAGCCTAATCGAATAGTGCGCATTCGTCACGTTTATCCACGCAAATTAACGCGTATGCAATTTCTATGCTTGTCATCAACAATCGCATGACATACGTTCGTGGACAAAAAATTCTCAGAGGTAAGTGATAATTAATTAAAAATATTTAAAATTAATTCACGTACGTAATTTTGCATATATTTATTATTATTATTATTATTATTATTATATCAAAATTAACGATTTAAAAAATTTCCACAGATCCAAAATGATACCGTTATTGAAAATCAATTGGATTTGATTTAATAAATATCAAGGATTGAGGAAAATGAAATTTATAAATTTAAAATGCAACGAAATGACAAAAACAAAAAGGCGAGAGAAACCTGTAGAAAGGTGAAGGCTATACGGATTTACTACTACCACTACTAATTCGTCGTCTCGTCTGGAAAATTTTTAAAAAGGTAAATAAATTAATTATTATCAATAATAATAAAGAGGAGGAGGAGAAGGAGGAGAAGAGAGGAGGAAAGGAGGAGGAGGAGAAGAAGGAGGGGAAGAAGGAGGGGAAGGAGGAGGAGGAGGAGGGGAGGAGAAGAAGGAGGGGAAGGAGGAGGATGTGCGCGAATTTATAATTTAAATTTTTTTAAATTTTTTTTCAATGATGACTACCGTATTGTGAAAGTAATTTTTATTTTTATTACTTTTTTCCGTTAAAAATTATCGATTTCTATTAATTAATAAAAATATTTTCATCCGATCCTCCTTGGCCCCCTTTTATAAAAATTAATTTAAGGATCGTTTTGAAATTTTGAAATTTTACCAAATTACCCATATTATTGTTTTTTTTAACTCTGAAATTTTTTTATTAAAACGACATCTTTCGGTAAAATTTAGTTTTAATCGTAAAAAAATCATAGAATAATAAAACGTAGAATTAATAATAAAGTAAAAATTACCTTGTTCGATATGCTCGTTATGAATGTTTTTATATCTAATTGTGTTGGACATGATTTTTGACATGGAGCATCGGCACATTTTAAACATCTTGCAGCTTCTCTCAGTGCTCCCCTTTCCGAAAGTGTCGTTTTTTTAATATCTCCAAAATTATTTATTAACGGTTTACAAGACTTAAATGAAACGATAATAATAATAATACCGTTAAAATTATATTTAAAAAAACAAAACAAAACAAACTTTACTAACCTCACATTTTTTATTTTCGTTTCTTTTCCATTTTAATTTATTTTTTTTAGTTTCGCTCGATGGTAAAACGACGGCGTGATTTTTTATCCTGGGATTCAAACGAAGAATGTTCTGGAAATTTCCAAATGGTAAGTTTAATAATTATTTTTCTTATTTAATTTAATCACCACTCGGTATTAATTTTATTTAAATATTGAGGGAGAGGGGAGGGGAAGAAGAAAAGCGGGGGAGGAATTTATTAACACCCGAACGTTTGCGAAATTTACGTGTAAAATAATTTTACTTCTCATTTTATCATCATTATTATCGTAAAATTAATACGTATAAAATTGTAACTGTTGACGTTTATATATATACGAATACGTATGACCGATTAGAAAATGACAGATAACGCTTTTATCTCGTTGGATTAAGAAAACAATAACAAAAACCTAATTTTTTAAAAACAAATCTTTACTTTATTGATTCAAAAATTTATTCAAACGGATCGAAAAAGGTTTCGAAACAAAAAAAAAATCATTTTTTGCGCCCTTTCAACACCTTTTTTCGCGAAAAAACTGTTTAAAAAGGGAAATGAAGTGCTATCACGTGACTTATTTGAAAAAAAAAACAAAACAAAACAATTGAAATCATTTGTCGTTATCGCCCTTAATCGAATTATTTAAATACGCATTAGAATTGATTTTGAAAAAAAAAATCGGGAAAATTTAAAAATTTGGGGGGACAAATTCCCCCCCCTCTCTTTAAGGGGGGGGGGGGGGGGAAAAAAAATTAATTTTTTTTTAACCCCCCTTTAAAATTTTTTTTTTTTTTTGGAGACGGGAGGGTAAATTATTATGAAAAAAACAAAAAAAAAAAAAAACTTACCTCGATATCGGGTATATCTTTACTTAAAATAGCAGCCGACATTTTTTTTTAATTTTTTTTCAAAAATAAAATTTAAAAAAAAAAAAAAAAAAAAATGGTGCGCGTAATACGACTTATCGATAATTGAATCGAATGATTACTTTTTAACTGATGAAATAATTTTATTTTATTTTTTTTTTTTTGTTTGTCGAGTTTGCGACAACGACAAACGACGCTCGCGACTTCTTAACTTTGTAAACGTTGCGTCAATTTTCTCGTATGGTTTTTATTCAAGGATGCGTACAAAAAAAAAAATAATTTTATTATCGATCGTAAAAATTTAATATTTGCTTATTATTATTATTATTTTTTTTAAAAGAATTTTCACGTTTACGAAAGTGGCAGAAGATTCAATTGCGAGAATTAAAATGAAAATTTTCAAATGCCACGACGTTTGTCAAAACTTTAAATTTTTCCTATCGAAAAAAACAAACAAATTTGGTATTTTTTTTTTGTTTCCATTGAAAAATAATCAATAACGTAAAAAAATGTGAGAAATTTTTTATACAAACATAAATAGGCATTTAAAGAACGTGGCATTAAAATTTATAACGACGTGGATGTAGATTTTGCACGTGTACGAACGTTTGTTATTCGTTTTTGTTCCAATTTTAAATCATTCGAACTATTTTACTGTTGCTGGACAAATTTTCACATAAAATACGAAATTATTTTATAGACTCGATTTGTTTGTTTGTTTGTTTGTTTCCCCCCCGCCCCCCGTTTTTCTTATCGTCGTTATCTGCATTGTATTCTTTTATTTATCCAAAAGCAATCGAAATTTTTCGAGTGCAGTTAAATTTTTTTTATTAAATCGCTGAAAAATTACAAAACGACGTGACAATAGACAGAAACGCGTTCGGTGTTGCCATCCGGAAATTATTATTATTATTATTATTATTATTATTATTATCAATCTCTGATTTGTTTTTATTTATTTTTAATTCATGAAATTTTTCTGTCATTAACTTGAATTCAAAACTGGAATCTTGCCTTATTTTTTTTTTTTTTTATTGATTTTAATATGACGTCATCGATAAAATTTGTTTATTATAATTATTATTAATAATTTTTTAAAGGATTGGGAAAAAGTTAGGGGGGAAAAAAATGGCGGAGCGCGGTACGATCGAAATTCTAAAACGTGTTAGTTTTTCTTATGAAAAGTTAGGGGGGGTTAATTTTTTTTTTTTTATGACGTAAAAAATCAAATTTTAAAATAAAATTTTTTAAAAATTTTTTTGGCGCGAAAATTATTATATATATATATTTATTTATTTCCATCGGTTTTACGACTTCATAATTACTACGATTAAAGCCATAAAAATCCTTTAGATTATTATTGCTTTAATGTTTCGAAATTGGAAAATCATTTTCTCTAACTCTCTCTCTCTCTCACTCTCTCTCTCTCTCTCTCCCTCTCTCTCTCTCTCTCTCTCTCTCTCTCACTCTCTCTCTCTCTCTCTCTCTCTCTCTCTCTCTCTCTCTTACTTATCATATGAAATGAGTTTTGTTGCATAAAAACAAATTAATCTTCATTTAATATTTATTTACGTTTATAAATTATAAAAAAAAATTAAATTTAAAATAACGCGATTTGATTTTTGGCGACAAAAATTCCCCCCTCCCCCTACCGCGCACGAACCCATCATATTCTGACGTTCATTTAAACAACCCGAAGGGGGGAGGGAAAACTATACAAAAATTTAATGTAACGATGAAAAAGAACAGTATTAGTAGGAACGAGGAAAAAAAAAAAGAAAAAGAAAATTATGTTCGTTTTAATTTCATGCCACGACTTGTTAATACCATAATATAATCATTATTATAATTATTATTATTAACATAATCGGGTAGTAACGTGAAATAAAAAGGTCGTCGTTTTATATTTGAAAAAAAAAAAAAACGGTAAAATTTATTAATAAAATAATAATAATTACGACAAGGTTAAAAAAGAAAAAAAGGAAAATTTTTTTTTTCTTTTTTGGAATGTTCTGGAAATTATTATTTAAGAAAAAAAAAACCATTAAACGTTAAACGAAACGAATTTATTACAATAACATAATATTTATATATATATATTTTATACAAAAAAAAAAAAAAAAAAAATTTATTTAATAATTTCATTACGTATGTTATTATTATTATTATTTATTACAATAACGTGGATACAGTCTTGATATGTAATTATTATTATTATTATTAGTATTATTTTCTAGAGAGTCTTAAAATCAATTGTTTTTATTATTTCGACAAAAAAAAAACAAAAATTAATTAAAAGAAATTTAAAAGATTACAAACAAACAAACAAACAAACAAAAACAAACGACGTTTATTTCGGTCGGTAATAAATTCAGGTATGAAAATTTTTAAACGTTGGAAAATTTTTTTTTTTTTTTAATAAAAATTATGAACAAGAAGTTAAAATGGCGACAATAAATCGGTTAAAAAAAAAAAGTCTGATGCCACTACAATTTTTTTTTTTTTTTTCTCGGGAACGAAATTATTTTATTGGCACGAATCGAATCCGTTTTCATTATTTCGACGCATTTATTATTATTATCATTATTATTCTCATCATTAATAATAATAATAATAATAATAATGTAATTAAATTACAATAATTATATTATTGATAACAAATTAAAATTAAAAAAATTGATAACAGGTTTATAAAATGCTCGTAATCTTTTTAACGATTATCAAAATTAATAATAATAATAATATCATTATCATTATTATTATTATTAATAAAAATTACGTAATACGGTTTCCATTTTAATTTATTTAAAAAAAATTATTTAATTAAAAAACTTATTATTATTATTACTAATTAATTAAAATTCGTTTTATTTAAAAATCAAACAAAGGAAAAAAATTTTTTATTTAAAATTATTATTATTATTATTTATTATAATTATCGAATTTTCGGAAAACAAAATGGACGCCGATGACGTAATTAAAATTTTTTTTGTTTTAACTAAATTTTATTTATTTATTTATTTATTAATAATTTTATTTTAATTTTTTTTTTTAAAAAAAAACTTTAACTTTGGTCACGTGACAAACCATATCCTTACGAAAAACAATTATTATTATTATTTATTTATTTATTTTAATAATCGTGTATCGACTACTTAAATTGATTATTTATACATAAGTTATGTACATAATTTTTTATTATTTATTTATTTCAAACGGTATACAATCCGCGTCTATTTAAATACAAATCGCGAATTTGATAATAATAATAATAAAATACTGTGGCTGACTTATAAATAACAATAACAATAACAAAAAAGAAAATTCTAGACTAGTTTAATATTAAAAAAAATTTTTTTCTTTTTCTTATTATTATTATTATTATGCTGCCACTAATTACTTTCTTTCTCTCACGCACTCACTCGCTCAATATTCTCTCTCTCTCTCTCTCTCTCTCTCTCATTCAATCATTCATTCATCATTTAATTTTATTTATTTATTTGTTTTATATACGAGGCTAATTTCATTTTTATTTATTTATTATTATTATTATTATTATTATTATTATTATTATTATTATTATTATTATTATTATTATTATTTCCGACGCAAAATAAAAAAAAAATTTTAGGTCTTATCACTCGAGGAAGTTTGTGATAATAGTTTTTGCGAGTATTATTATTATTATTATTATAATACAATCTTAACGATGACGTTATCGATTTACGTAAAAAGAAAAATTTTCTCTCTCTCTCTCTCTTTCTCTCTCTTTTTAAAAATGGCAAGATTTCGACGAATGCTTTAAATTTATCATTATCATTATCATTATTATTATTTTGTTTTTGTTTTTTATAAATCTCGAATAACGTGTTGAACTTAGAGAAAAAAAAAAATCGAGTCTAGTGCCACGTTCGTAATTTTAATTCAGATATTATTAAGTTTTTTTGTTTTTTCTGTGTTGTGAACAAAGTTGAAATTCATTTTTTGATTGATTGATTGATTGACTGACTGATTGATTGACTGACTGACTGATTGATTGATTATTATTTGAAGGTTTTCCACGATAAATTTGAATTGATTTTTACGTGTAATCGCCATTTTGAAATGAAAACGATCTTTCTTTATTTACATATGGGTAAATTAAATTTAAAGCATTGTCAATGAGTCGGTTTTCTTGCCCATAGAATCACATTCTATCAAATTAATTAACTAATTTAATTAAAAATTAATTAACGAAAAGAAAATTTTTTTTTTATCAAGTCGGTTTTAACGGCCACGGTTCCGAGGGTTCTTGTTCCGTCGTCGCACCATCTCCATTAATATTATTTAACAACGTATAAGAATCTCTAAGTATTAATAATTTGGGTTGACCGTTAACTAAAAAACTACTGCCACGTCTAATATCTCTCAATTCTTTCGTGAGCCTTTCTTTGCCCCTTTCAATTCTCGGATCGGCAAATAAAATACTTTTGTACGCTTTAACGAATATGAAAACGAGTATGGAACCGCCGAGGAAAATGCATCCGTATGTGAAAACGGGTACGGCCACGTCGGAAAATGTCGTCGCGAGATAAACCCATCTTTTAATGGGGGGACTTAATTCTTCGATTCCTTCTTCTATCCACATTATCGGAAAAATTATGTCGGGAAATTTCGAAACGACTTTTATATTCGACACTCTCGAAATTTTTAAATTCATTTGAACTCTTACCAAACCTTCCAAAGGCACTCCGAGTTTCTGTAAAATAACAAATAATCATTCGATCGATTATTATTATTATTATTATTATCATCACTATCATTATGAAAACTCACGTGTTGGATTTTAAAATATGTTTGATGTTTATCGACGTCAGGTTTTAATCCTTCCACAGCATCCAACAGCGATTCATCAGCTTGTAAAAAATGAGGATACGATAAAAATACTGGAGCTTCTGCATAATGGAAACAAAAAACGCATGATAATAATAATAATAAGAAGAAGAAGAGGAAGAAGAGAAAAGTGGAAGAAGAAAAATAAAACTCACGAAAATGACACGGATTAATATTTTGTAGTCCTTTCGGAGTACAATAACTACCAACGTTTAAACAATAACATTTATTATCTTCATTTTTTTCCGGAGTTTCTAAAGCGTCTTCGCTCGGAGTGTACAACCTAACAAAAAAAAAAAAAAAAAAAAGGAAAAAACATTAAGAAAACGTCTGTAAGAAAAAAAAAAAAGTGGAAGAAGAAAATATATATATATAATTTACCCAGCAGTAACACCAAATTTACTAACGTCTCCTCTATATTTAAGCGGTAAAATTCGGCATAAATCTTTATCGTACACGTGTACAATATCGGATTTAGTAAAATCACGTGGTGGAAAAAATGAACCTGAAAAAGGAAAAAGGAAAAAAAAAAAAATCAGGTGTTTTTCTTTTTCCCTCTCGTTTTTTGTCTACTTTTGTGTGTCAAGACGTGAATATATAAAAAACGTGTGATAATATTTGACAAAAGAATGTGGCACTAGACTTGTTTTTTGTGAACCTGTTTTTAAAAGCACCCTAAAGATATAAAATTATGTAATAATGTTTTTCTCTCTCTCTCTCTTTCTCTCTCTTTCTTTCAATGCCGAAAGTTTTATTTTTTTTTTTTTCGCGCACGTACTAAAAATAATTTTCTTTTTTTTTTTTTTTTTTTTTTTTTTTAGGGCAAATTTTTCGCGGATAAAAATTGCGAAATTATTTATATTTGTATGTACGGTTTTTTTTTCAGGTCGGGGTAAAATTTTTTTTTTTTTTTTTTTTTTTTCAATTTAAAAATTGATTCTTCGTTTTTTTTAGGTACGTACCTTCTGATGCTTTTATCGAATTACACGGTGGTTTTTTCCAATATGGCAAATGATCTAAACCGTTAACGCGATTAAGCAAACCAAATTCTTCCATGCTTGTATGACCGGTAAATATCGTGGAAATTTCTCGAAGCGTTCCGTTCCTCTGTAAAAAAAAAAAATTGTTTTTTATCTCTCTCTCTCTCTCTCTCTCTCTTTAAAAATTTATATAAAAAGAACTCACTCCCAACAGCAAACCCATTTTTTCATTTGGTCTTTTATTCCTTGGAAAATATTTATGTGCTAATTTTGTTAGGATGTCATCGTAACCGAAAACTAATTCTTCAGGTGTTACTGACACGAAAGGTTTTAAATCCATTGAACCTAATACGACGGATAATCCCGTTCGAAGTATCCATGGTAAATCTTTCGTGAACGTTGCCAAAGTCTTAAAAAAAAAAAAAAAAAAAAAAAAACAACAACAACAAACCGTTAATTATTAATAATAATTTATTTTATTTTTATTTTCAGAATATACGACAAATGTCGAATATGCGAAATCGGTCTAGGTTGTTTTGTCGTGTCAACAAGAAAAACATTGCTTATGGGCAAAACTCGTTGTGTTGTCGAAACCGTAAACATTTATTTTTTTTCGTAAGTACGACATTTTGTAATTTAATATTTTTAATACTATTCGGAAAACACACGAAAAACGTAACGTTTTTCTAAAACCACGATGATTTTAACGAATTTATATATATATATATATATACTTACGAGTAGTGGTATGTTCGGTACGACAACCTTATCCTCTTTATTTCCCGATGACCATTCGGGAACGTATCTAAGTATTTTATTCTGTTGAAATGACACCGTACCATTATTGTAAAATTTAATATTAACTTTTTCCATGTCTTCCCTGGAAAATAATTATAAAAAAAAATTTATTCTGTGAGGAAAATAATACGGTAGCAGGTTGTTACGGGAGGTACTATTAATCCCCCCCCGCGAAACGTAAACATAAAAAAAACAGGAGTGGATTGAATTATAATAAAAGTAAAGGTGGTGCTGCTTTGCCACTATGGTGAAATTAAACACACGCACACGCACATACGCACACACAACCGACATTCGGCCGCACCCAAAATACAAAAAAAAAAAAAAAAAAAAAATTAACTAAAATAATGATTTTGAAATGTTTGTTATGGTGTCACAAGATAAAACAGAATAAAAACTTATAAAAGATAAGTGAAACGGTCAAGGTTGTCGATGAGAAAGCTAGACGTACAAGACAAGGATGTGCATGCATATATATATAAGAATTATCATCATTATCATTTCGGATAATGAATTTTCTAGAAAAATTCGATATAATATAAATAAACACACGCGTGTCGGTCTCACCTGTAAACGAAGGGTCCGACTTCGACCAATTTTGGTTTTTCATTATTATTTAAAAAACCATCCGGATTAGTTACGTTGAATATGTAAACTTTGGTTAAACGTATAACTCCCGGTCTCTGCCAATAATGATAACTAAGCGTTCCATTAGCTAAACGTAGGTGCTAAGTACAAAAAAACAAAAAAAAAAAAAATTTTAAGAAAATCGTCGTTAAGGCCCTTGCAATATGTACACAAAAAACAAAACAACGTGTCTAATTTTTTTTTTTTTTTTTTTTTTTTTTTTACCGGCAATCGAATTTTTTTTTTTTCGATTCATTTTCCCGGTCAGTCCTGCGAGCAATAAATAAATAAATAAATTTTTTATGCATTTGAAAACGAAACAGATAAATAATAATGATGATGATGATAATTGTTATAAATTACCTTTAGTATTAGATAATCCAACCATGGTATGGACGATAGTATAATTCCTAACGCTAATGTAAACAGCCCCAATACTATAACTATTAATTTTCCTGTAAACAAAATATGTCATTTATTATTACTTTTCTTTCTTCTTTCTATTACCACGTTTTTTTTTTTTTTTTTTTTTAACTTATGGCGGGTGATAAAATTTATATTTTATTTATTTCATACGAAAAAAAAACTTTTAACGGAAAGAATACGAAACTTCGTTATCAATAATAATAATAATAATAACGTAACAATTACGATAATAATTTCAACATTTCCTCCCCCCTCCCTCCCCCCATCTTCGATCAATAAAATATTATTAACTTGAACGTAATAATAATAATGATAATAATTAATAAATGATGACGTAATAAAATATTTACGAGTATGTTATAATTTGTAATGAAAAACCGATTTGAAAACAAAACGGAAAATTTACAATTATTATTATTATTATCATTATCATTACTATCATTACTATTATTATTATTATTATTATTATCATTATTATTATTATTATTACTACTATTACTATCATTATTATTATTATTGTAAAAATAAATGAATCGGTTGAATTGATTTCGATGATGAATTTTTTTCAAAAAAATATATTATTAATTAATTTAAATTTAAATTTAAAAAAAAAAAAACAATAATAATAATAATCGCGTTGTAGTAATCGTGTAATTTATTTTACAGACCGCTAACTGACAATAATAATAATAATAATAATAATAATAATAATAATAATGATAATTGTAATGAATAATTCATTGTTTAAAAAAAAAAAAAAAAAACGTTACTAAATGGTTTATGTTTATTTATTTTTAATTAATTAAGGAAAGTTATTTAAATATATTTTTTTTTATTATGTATTTAACGGTTTTAAACGATGAGTTTAATAGTTAATTAATTATTAATAATCGTAAATTAAAAGTTATTAAAAAAAAAAAAAAAATTTAAATAGATTATAAATAATGAAGGATTCGTGATTTATAACAATA